AATGTGCTTGTGTTGGCTCCAGCGCGCTGTGGTTTCAGGCACAGGCTCAGGACTCCTACTCTCTTGGTTCACAACCCGGCTCTGCCCCGTGCCAGCTGCAGAAATGCAGCCAAAGCCCCCCAACCTCGCTGCCCCTCAGCCCCCCGACCGGGTGGCAGCCTCCTTGCTGAGAGCTGTCAGGACCTGGAGAGATGAATGCAGCCAGGTGTCTGCCACTCCGTAAATGGCAGCTGCCATCATTATTGTTACGATTGCTAATAAAAGGTAACCCACAGCCAGCCTCTCTGTAGCCAACAATTAGATCCTTCCCTGCGTGAGGAATGCATGTGCAAAATACTCCCACCAGCAAAACCCAGCCACTCCCTGACCTCGGCTTCCAGCCAGGATCCACCACCCCACTGGCAAGGACACCGGGTGGAGGGCACACCATTTTTTTGAGCCACACCCCGTGCATGACACTTATCAGTCTCAGTTGTGGCCTCTCTGAGGTCCTGAGACAATTCTGTNGGGGGAAGGTGTTGAAATCAAGTGAGAACCAGGCATGGTCGGGCTAGATGAAGTGTTCATTTAATCAGTCAGGGATATAAAACAGCACCGGAAGGTGGCTTCCCTAACCCTGCATGGGGCCAGCCCTGGGACATAGTCCTTGCAAAGTGTGGCTTGACAATTTTACAAACTTATGTTTTTCTTTTTTATTGATTTTAGATAGATAGATGGATGAAAGAGAGGGAGAGAGAGAAACATCGATGTGAGGGAGAAACATCAATCGGTTGCCTCCTGACCATGGATAAAAACTGCAACCTAGGTACATGTCCTGAGTCGAACCCATGACCTTCTGGTGCCCTGGGTGACACTCTAACCAACGGAGCCACACCGGCCGGGAGCTTGTGTTTTCACTCCCTTTAGACTTTAGGTGCAGAGGCTGAGCAGCATGGGCACACCACCATCATCATCACTACCGGTCTGTGCAGAATCCCTTTCTCTACAGTCCCTGCCATCTCCCCCCCTCTCCCCC